TTGTGTAAAGTTCTGGGCAGCTTCCTAGGTGTGCTTCCGAAGTGTTTCAAGCAAGGACCCTGTCACAGGGCACAGGCTGGTTTCTAACCTTCCTAACGCGGTGCTGGACCACTGTCACCATGGTACGGTTCTTAACTGTAGAATTCCAGAGAGATCTTCCACTGCTGTGCACTTCCCAGATGGCCACAGTAGCCAGGGCTGGGCTGGCATCCTGGGACTCCTTCCAGGTCTCCCACTTGGGCAGCCCAAGTGTTTGGGCATCTTCCACTGCTTTCTCAGGTGCATTAGCAGGGAACTGGATTGGAAGTGGAGCAGCCAGGACTCGAACTGGTGCCCATATGGAATGCTGGAGTCACAGGCAGCAGCCTTACCTGCTATGCCAGAACGTGGGCCCCATATTTAATTTATGTTAAAATCGTGCTTTAATTTAAAAATAACCCATATTTGGAATTAGAAAGAATCCTGTCTCAGCAGGCAATTATTACACAAAACTTGGCTGGAAACTGTGGATGTCTAGTTTCTGTGCTTCAGAAAACATCGGGTTTGGGATTTCTTCAAATATTATACATTTTATTTATTTTTTACAAGACTTATTTATTTGATAGAGTTAGAGGGAGAGACAGAAAGAGAGCTCCCACCCACCCGTTCACTCCCCACGTGGCTACAAAGGCCAGGGCTGGGCCAGGCTGGAGCCAGGAGCCGGGAGCTCCATCGGGTCTCGCATGGGTGGCAGGGGCTGAAGCGCTTGCCCATCCCCTGCTGCCTCCCTTGGTGCACGTTAGAGGGAGCTTTACTGAAAGTGGAACAGAGCTGAAACGCCGGCACTCCGGCGTGGGACGCGGGTCTCAGGTGGTGTCCTGACCCATGCCCATGCCTGTAAGGAGTTCTGTTTCTACACTGGGTGACGGGGCCAGCATTGCAGCACAGTAGCTCGAGCCTCCGCCTGCAGTGGCGGCATCGCAGGTGGGTGCCGGTGTGAGACCCTGCTGCTTGACTGCCAACGTGCCTGGGAATGCGGTGGAAGATGGCCCATCCATGTGGGAGACCCGGATGGAGTTCCTGGCTCCCGGCTTTGGCATGGCCCAGTCCTGGGCCATTGTGGCCATCTGGGGAATGACCCAGTGGATGGAAGACCTCTCTTTCTCTCTAACTCTGCCTTTCAAATAAATAAATAAATAAACCTTTGAAATGAGTAAATAGACAAATTATAAATAACACCTACCTCAAAAGAAACTTGCCAGGATTCACGGAGTGAGTATGAAGTGCGTGTTTGCCAGCACTGTCACCCTCGCAATGCTGTCGCAATTGCTACTAGGGAACCTTATCAGTGGCAGAGTGGGGACAAGACCCAGGAACAATGCGACAGTAACTAAGAGTTTTCTCCCACACAAGAGTGCATTTGACACCCGAAGACCAATTAAAGTGAGTTGTTTTATAGTTGTTTTAGCCTCCCAAATTTTGGAACTTAGTTCATGCAGCTCACTTGGGACAAATGCTCCAATGTCAGTGGTGTGAGAAAAGTGCCAGAATTTACTGAACACAGCTCACCCGGTCAGAGTCTGTCAGTGGTGGTTTGGCCCCCGGCCAGGAGACATGGAGGCCAGTTCCAGAAACGCCTGCCATCTCCGCGCGGTGGGCCGGCCGTCAGCACGCTCCAGCCCACGGCAGCCGCTGCCATCGGGCGGGGGCTTCGTGGCTCTTCCAGGGACGTGGGAGGCTTTCTGCTGTGGCACCAGAATTCCAGCAGAAGCCCAGGCTGTGTTCAGGTGACCTGGTTCTCACACGTTGGCAGGACAATTTCAATTGCAGATAATCCCCCTCCTCCCAGTACATAATCCTCGAAACTGTTGAGGTCTTCAGGGTCATGGTTGAGACTGAGAGGCAGAGAAATAAAGATTGGTGTGAGTCTTCAGTATTTTTTTTAAAAGATTTATTTATTTGAAAGAGTTACAGAGAGAGAGACACAGAGAGAGGTCTTCCATCCGATGGTTCACTCCCCAGATGGATGCAACGGCTGGAGCTGCGCCGATCCAAAGCCAGGAGCCAGGACCTTCTTCCAGGTCTCCCACATGGGTGCAGGGGCCCAAGGACTTGGGCCATCTTCCACTGCTATCCCAGGCCACAGCAGAGAGCTGGATTGGAAGTGGAGCAGCCGGGTCTCCAACTGGCGCCTGTATGGGATGCCGGCGCTTCAAGCCAGGGAGTTAACCCGCTGCACCACAGCGCCAGCCTCTTCTGTATTCTTTTCTCAAGTTTTTGTGTTCCTTATTTTAAGTTGTGTATTTTATTTTTAAAAAATTAAAAATGTATTTGAGAAAGAGAGAGGTCTTCCGTTCACCGGTTCATTCTGAAGTTGGCAGCAAGGAGTTCCAGCTGGGTCCCCACGGGGGTTGGCAGCAGCCCAAACACTTGAGCTGCTGCCTCCCAGGGTGTAGCAGCAAGGAGCCGGAGTGAGCAGAGGAGCCGGGACTTGAACCAAGCACGCGGTGGAGATGTGGCGTCTCCAACGGCACCTTCACTGCCACCAGGTGCCCCCCTTGAGTATTCTACTTTTTAAAGATTTATTTATTGAGGCGAGTATTGTGTTTATTTGAAAGGTAGAGGTACAGAGATCTTCCATCTGCTGGTTCACCCCCTAAATGGCTGCCACATGGGAATTGCATCCAGGTCTCCCAAGCACTCAGGCCATTCATTCGCAGGCGGCTGATCGGAAGTGGAGCGGCCAGGGCTTGAAGCATTGCTCGTATGGATCTGCTTAACCTGCCGCACCACAGCGCAGGCCGCCTGCCTGTGATTCTTTAAACAGGCGAGTCGCTGGGGCTGGGGTGGGAGAGGGGCCTGTGGGTTTCAACTGTCCGCTCTCAGAGGCCAAGGGCCTTGCTCTCCTGTCCCCTTGGGGGCGACAGGCTTTCCTGCAGGAGCAAATAACCTGGATGCTCCCAGCCCCAAGACAGCCAGCGCAGCACCTAACCTTCGGAGTTTTAGTCACGGTTTCATTTGTAGCCCCTACAGATTGCTTTTTGCTTTCTTCTCTATGGAATCACAACCATTTACAGATATCTCGTCCTGTGTTTTCAGATATTTAAAGTAAGAGGATTTCAGGTTACCCGATCTGCAGAATTACCCCTGAAGTCTTGTCACTTGGGGGGCACGCTAACTTGGGCCATCTGTTTAACTTCACTCCTTCCTCTGTGGCTTTCTCCTGTGATGGCCTCGAAGAAGAAGAGGAGGTGCTTAGCTCAGTAGGTGCTCCGAGACGAAACATCGGCACCTCTGGAGTTGGCTGCCAGGATTCGCCGAGGCGCGTCGGCTAATAAATGCGGAAGAGCCTGGGACCAGGGCAGCGGCAGCTCATTGGCCCTGAAGAGACGGATGCGGACAGATGCCAGCAGTGGCTGCGGAGCCGGGGGGTGGGGGGTGGGTGGGGTGGGCGGAAGCACCTTCAGCCCGAGACTGCGTCTCATTGCCAAGCACGGATGTCCTTTGTCCTTGTTCTTTTTTTGAAGTATTAATTGTGTCTTCTACCTGCGTGCGTTGCCCGAGGGATGCTCAGTGGTCAGCAGTGCTGCCGTCACCACGTACCCCAGGGCTGGAGCTGCCAGGACCTGTGCTGCTCACTGGGTACGGGGTGGGCCCATGCAGGCACACCTCAGGCCTCTGGGCTGGTGACACGCTAGGGCGGTTGCTGTCCCAGGTGGAGAGAGTTTGGTGGAGAGAGGCCCCGTGGGCGAGGCTGAAGGAACGCACAGCACTGCAGTGCGGATCTAACTTGTCTCAGAAGCCAGCTCTGGAGCTGGCCTCGAAGAGCTTTCTCTGCCTGTGTGAGTGAGCAGGAGGCGAGGTCCCTGCCCACCGGGGCGGAACCTGCAGGAAATGAGGTCAGCAGCAGGTGTCCGGGTGTTCGGCCTGGTGCTTAAGGTGCCTGTGACGAGGGGCCGGCGCTGGGGCTCGGTGCGCTAAGCTCTGCCTGGGGTGCTGGCATCCCGTGAGTGCTGGCTTGAGTCCCGGTGGCTCCACTTCCCACCTAGCTCCCTGCTGATGTGTCCAGGGATGCAGCAGAGGATGGCCCGAGTGCTTGGGCCTCTACCACCCACATGGGAGACCCATTTGGAGTTCGAGGCTTCTGGCTTGGACCTGGCCATTGAGGCCATCTGGGGAGTGAATGGAGGTGCTCTGTCTCCCTCTGTTTCCCTCTCTCTAACTCTGCCTTTCGGATAAATAAACCTTTTTAAAAAGATGCCTGTGCCCCACACTGGGGTTCCTAGGTCTGATGCCTGGCCCTGGCTCCCGATTCCGGCTTCTCGCCGTGGTGGTCCCTGGGAGGCAGCCCTGATGGCACTAGTGATTGGGTTCCTGGTTTCACGGGAGACCTAGATTGCATTCCTGCTCCTGGCTCCCCCTCCAGCTCTCAAGGGCATTTTGGGAGTGAACCAGTGGATTGGAGCTGTCTCTCTCTCTCGCTCTCATTTCGTCAAATGGAACTGCTGCTTGCCTAGAGGACCTGCTGAGGTGGTTAGTGTCAGGTGCGGGGCTCTGCCATCCCAAAGCCAGTCCTAGAACTGTCTGTTCTACCCTGTGCCATTCGACACCCGTCCCCTATTACCCGTCTCCAGGACCCAGTGTGAGGGACACCGGGGCAATGTCCTGCCCGCAGCGGACAGCTGTCCGAGTGGGCGACCTCAGAGGCCCGTCCGACGCCTTTCTCTCCAGTGCGCCGAGTCCTGTGGAATCCCAGCGTCAGTGCTACAAGTCTGCAGGTGCTGGTGTTGGTTCCCACCAGATACAAATGCCACAGGATCAGATCTGGGGAGGGAACCAGCGGATGCGAGACCTCTCTCTCCCTCTGCTTCTGCCTCTTTGTCTTTAAAATAAAAATAAATAAATAAATGTTAAAGAGGTTTGTCCACTGAAAACTATAAACTGTGACTGAAAAACACCTAAAGAAGACATAAATCAATGGAAAGACATCCCATAGCCGTGGACTGGAAGATGTAATACTGTTAAGATGTCAAGAATACCCAGTGAGCTACAGATTTAATGCAGTCATAATCAAGATTTTTTTTTTTTCAGAAATAGAAAAACCCTAAAAATCATTGTTGCTGGAAGATCAAAGAAACCTGACCAGCAGGAGCAGTCACAGAGGGAGAGCATGAAGCTGATGGACTCACACATACTTACTTCCTTTTTTTAAACATTTATTTATTTACTTGAAGAGTTACAGAGAAGCAGAGAGAGAGAGAGAGAGAGGGGGGAGAGAGAGAGGATCTTCCATCTGCTGGCTTGCTCCCCAAATGGCCACAATGGCTGGGGCTGGGCCAGGCCAAAGCCAGGAGTCAGGAGCCACTTCTGGGTCTCCCGTGTGGGTGCAGGGCCCAAACACTAAGGCCATCTTCTGCTGCTTCCCCAGGTGCATAGCAGGGAGCCGGATCGGAAGTGGAGCAGCCGGGTCTCGGGTCTCGATCAGTGCCCATATGGGACGCTGGTGTTGCAGGAAGTGGGGAATGGGGGTGTGTGGGGGTGGGGGGACTATTATTGGCTGTGCCACGATGCAGGCTCCTGGCCTGGGATCTCCCATTGCTGGGGGTGGAGAGGCAGGAAAGCAGCTCACTGATCCCAGAGGCTGGGGTCCCAGCTGCTTCCCCTAACCACAGAGGGGAACCTGGCAGGCCATTCACTAGGCTGGGGCCTGGTCCTGACCATGTGTCCTGGGATTGGCTGCTCTGGTTTTTGGGAACAGAGCTAGCTGACAAGCACCGGAGACTCAGCTGCACGGCAAGGAGTCCCTAAAAGGGACCTTGAATCAGAAAGTGAAAGCGCTCCCCTGCAGGTGTTGTAGCTCGGGATGGACCCTCGGGGCCCGGGGGCTCCCGAGGCACCAGGACTTGTGTACGGAGCACAGAGGGGAGACTGGAGAGTGGATTCCTCTCTGACCCGCAGGAGGGCTGGGGTGGTGGCGCCTGGTGCCCCCTCACTGTCGTGGTCTGGGCCTTGAGACGCCCGCCCAAGCAGCAGGGCGGCAGCAGGGGAGAGTAGGGACTGAGCGCCCCCTGTTGCGGGACAGGACCCCTGGGAGGGCTCGCCCACCCCCAGGAGGCCTGGCGTGACCGCTGACGGACAGAGAGCTCAGTGGCTGACTGGTGCCACGCTCCCAGGAGTCCCCGCTGCCAGTGAGCATCGTCCACCCCCGCGAGCCGCCCGGGGCAGTAGTCTGGGGTCACCCCGGCCCCAGGGCCACATCGGGGAAGCCCAGTAAGGGCCTCATAATCGTTCATGAGGCAGCCATGTACTTCAAGTGAGTAATGTTCCAGAAGGCGTCTGCAGGGCCCCCACATCCCAGCCCAGCCAGGACCGGGGGCATCCAAGTCCACCCCTCAGAGGTCCCTGGTGTTCGCGTCAGCAGGCTTTGCTCCCGCCGCTGAAGCCCTGAGGTGGGGACATCGGGCCCGCGGTGACGGCATTGGGGTTCCCACTGCCAGCGTCCCCAGCCCTCCTGCCCAGGCTTCGTCAAACTGCTCCAGACACCCCCCAGCGCGGCTGCTCTGCAAGTGAGAAGCAGAATCCAGCTGAGAGCAGTGGAGGAGCCAGGAGACAGAGCAGGGAGAGGGGAGGGCCAGCCCCACCCTCCCGCCCCTGCCCGGCGCCCGGGTTCCAGCAGTGTCCCCTTTGGTTAGACTTGGCGCCTGTGGCCTGGGCTGGCAGTTCAGGCAAAAGTGCTGCTCGTCCAGGAAGGAGCGATCAGGAGACAAGAAGGAGGCTCTGGGCTCCTGGGCTCCAGAGACGGCCTGGCATGGGTTCAGCAGGTGCAGTGGGTCTTTTCACTGGGCCTCTGTGCCACGAGAACCGGGCTGGAGTCCAGGGGCAGGCTGTTCAGGGCGCTCTCCCCATACAGGTGCAGGCTGTTGCGGGCAATCAGCTCCTTGGCCATCAGCACGAAGACCTCGTCTATGTTCCTGGACTCCTTGGCAGACGTCTCCAGCACGGCGAGGAGGCCGTGTTTCTCGGCCAGCGTGCAGGCCTCCTCAAACAGCACGTGCCGCTCTTCCCACCTGTCCGACTTGTTTCCTGCAGGGGACAGACAAGCATGCGCCACTGAGCACCTGCACTCGTTCTCCTGGAAATCGACTTTGAAGAGAACCTTCCTCGTTCATCGGTTAGCCCGCACGCAGGCACTCAAGTGGTAACCGAGGGTGGAAATGCCAACACGGATGCTCGGAATGGGTCTCTGCGGCCTGTCCTGCAGGGACTTAAAGAACAGCTAGGACTAGGCCAGAGGACGGTGTGTACCGGGGGACATGTGGAGCCCTGTCTCTCCCGCCGTGCCTCTCGAAGTCTTCCCTCATCCTTGCAGCCTAGCTCTTTCCACACCACAAAGTGCTGGGTGCTGTGAGCCGAGCCTGGGCTCCCCGAGCGGGAGATCAGGATTTGCTGGACTGACGGTACGCAATGAAAGTGTTTCCTTTTAGTTTTTTGTTTATTAAAGATTTATTTATTTATTTGGGACTAGAGTTACAGAGGCAGAGGAAGAGAGAGATCTCCTATCCACTGGTTCACTCCCCAAGTGGCCACAAGGGTCGGAGCTTGGCACATCCGGAGCCAGGAGCCAAGAGCTTCTTCCCGGTCTCCCATGCTGGTACAAGGGCCCAAGGACTTGGGCCATCTTCTACTGCTTTCCCAGGCCATAGCAGAGAGCTGGATCAGAAGTGGAGCAGCCAGGTCTCGAACCGGTGCCCATATGGGATGCCAGCACTGCAGGCAGCAGCTTTTACCACTATGCCACAGCACTGGTCCCTTCTTTTAGATTTTAAAAAGTATTGACTTTCATTTTCTTTGAAGGAGAGAGAGATCGACCCTCCATCTGATGATTCACTCCCCAGATGGCCACAATAGCCAGGGCAGGGCCAGGCTGAAGCCAGGAGCCTGGAACTCAATCTGGGTGTCCCAAATTCTTGAGCCGTCACTGCTGCCTCACAGGGTTCTCATTAGCACCAAGCTGGAGCCAGCGGCAGAGCCAGGACACTGACCCAGGCAGCGTGCCCATCAGCGTCTTCACCCAGGAGCTGCCTCAGCTCGTGCGCGTCCTGATGTAGCAGGTGCTGGCTGAAGCAGCTGGGTTCCTGCCACCCCTGTGAGGGACCCACATGGAGCTCCGGCTCCTGGCTTCTCTCTCGCCCAACCCTGGCTGCTGCAGGCCACTGGGGGAGGAACCAGCAGGTGGAAGTTTGGAAGAGCTCTCTTCACATGTCTCTATCTCTGTTTCTTTGCCTTTCAAATAATAAATAAACAAAGAAATGCTAACTGGAGCCTAAAATTGTGGTGCAGCAGCATAAGCTGCACTCGGGAGCCCTGCGCTGGAGTGCCTGGGATTGAGTCCTGCCTCTGCTTCTGAAGCAGCTTCCTGCTAACGCACCTGGGAGACAGCAGATAATGGCCCAGGCACTTGGGTTCCTGCCACCCACGTGGGAGACCCAGATGGAGTTCCTGGCTCCTGCTTGGTTCCCGCACTAGCTCTTGTGGGTGTCCGGGGGAGTGAATCAGTGGATGAAAAATCTCTCTCTGTTTCTTTAAATAAAACTTTAAAATAAAAAACTTTAAAAAGCCCATCACTAACACAAGGGAGGCATACCTTGTAGTGTGTTCTTGCAAAGGAACATTGCACAAATCATGTAAAAGAATAAGGGGTGGGGCCGGCGCCGCGGCTCACTAGGCTAATCCTCCGCCTAGCGGCGCCGGCACACCAGGTTCTAGTCCCGGTCGGGGCGCCGGATTCTGTCCCGGTTGCCCCTCTTCCAGGCCAGCCCTCTGCTGTGGCCAGGGAGTGCAGTGGAGGATGGCCCAGGTGCTTGGGCCCTGCACCCCCTGAGAGACCAGGAAAAGCACCTGGCTCCTGGCTCCTGCCATCGGATCAGCGCGGTGCGCCGGCCGCAGCGCGCCGGCCGCGGCGGCCATTGGAGGGTGAACCAACGGCAAAGGAAGACCTTTCTCTCTGTCTCTCTCTCTCACTGTCCACTCTGCCTATAAAAAAAAAAAAAAAAAAAAAAAAAAAAAAAAAAAAAAAAGAATAAGGGGTGGTAGGCCGGCGCCGTGGCTCAACAGGCTAATCCTCCGCCTAGCGGCGCTGGCACACCAGGTTCTAGTCCCGGTCGGGGCGCCGGATTCTGTCCCGGTTGCCCCTCTTCCAGGCCAGCTCTCTGCTGTGGCCCGGGAGTGCAGTGGAGGATGGCCCAAGTGCTTGGGCCCTGCACCCCATGAGAGACCAGGAGAAGTACCTGGCTCCTGCCTTCAGATCAGCGCAACGGCAAAGGAAGACCTTTCTCTTTCTCTCTGTCTCTCTCTCACTGTCCACTCTGCCTGTCAAAAAAAAAAAAAAAAAAAAAGAATAAGGGTGGCACTGCTTGGGACAGCTGCGTCCTACAACAGAGTGCCTGGGTTGAGTCCTGCCTCTGCTTCTAGTCCAGCTTCCTGATACTGTGCCTGGAAGGCAGCAGATGTTGGCTTTAGTACTTGGGAGACCTGGATGGAGTTCCTGGATCTGGGATTTGGCCCAGCCCAGCACTGGCTACTGCAGGCATTTGGGAGAATGACCCACCAGGTGGAAGCTGGCTCGCTCACTCTCTCTGTCTCTCTCTCACTGTGCACATCACTCTACCTTGCAAATGGATTTTTAAAAAGGTAAGAATTATAGCTACCTGCAACAATATGGAAAAAACTCCGAAACTTAACACTGAGGGAAAGCAGCTTAGACAGAAGACATTTTCTGATTCCATTTATAGAAAGTTCAGCAGCAACAGCAAAACAGAACTTCACCGTCTGGGGACGGGGGTTAGGAGGTGAAAGGGTCAAGAAAAGTAGGGCTGTGGTAACCACGAAGGTCATGCTGTGCTGGCCTGCAGGGGAGGGAGGCTGGGGAGCGGGGCTGGCGCCAACACTGTTCTCATTCCTGACCCAGATGCTGTTGGCTTAGGTGTTTCTCCTTAGGATACATCACCATGCACGTTTCTGTGTGTTCATCTGTCCCAGTGAAAGTAGAAGATTGAAAAGTACTTCCCCAGTCACCGTCAGCAGCCTGCCCAGAGACAAAGCTGGGCTTGGGTCATAATCATTCTCTAAGAAGTGTAAGTCCAAGAGTGTTTTCAGCGGGCATTACCACGCTGAACCCCTGGAAACTGTAATCGCTAAGGGGTCTTTGCAGATGTGACGGAGCTAAGGATCCCGACGTGCGGAGATTGCCCTGGATTAGCTGGGTGGGTGCCACAGTCTCACGCCTCCTTCCAAGAGGGAGGAGGAGGGAGTGTCACTCCCCACCCCCAGGAGGCAGAGGCTGCATGGTGCAGCCACAGCAGTGAGAAGGGCAAGGGACAGAGTCTCTCCAAGAGCCTGCCGGTGCTGCTGCGTCCGGGGCCCCACAGGAGTCCGGGCACAGCCTGCTGGTGCTGCGTCCGGGGCCCCACAGGAGTCCGGGCGCAGCCTGCCAGTGCTGTGTCCGTCCGGGGCCCCACAGGAGTCCGGGCGCAGCCTTCCGATGGTGAGAGCACACTCCTGGTATCCTAAGTCCCCTGGCTTGCGACAGCAGCCTCAGGACATGCGCCCCTTCAACAGGACTCTGCAAGTCCACAGGCAGTGAGGCCCAAGCTCAGGGCCAAGCTCAGCTTCTAGAAGGGAGGTAGGAGGACTGCTTGGTGGAGGAGATGTGTGCGGGGAGCAGGCACCTGCGGAGCCAGGAGTCGGACCTGTTGTCTGCATCCCTCGCTGACTGCACATTCCCATTTTTATGCCGTGCTCCTGGTGCCTGTCCCGTCTGCCACACCCGGATCGGACCGGCAGTGCTGACCGTCCATTGCTCCACCCCTCACCAGCCGGTGCCTGCACCCTGCAGCATGAGCCCGGCACTTGGAGGGAGGGAAAGAAACAGAAGGTCTGCTCAGTGCCCTTTGCTGGCTCCCACATCCAGATACGCAGAAGGCTGTTACCAGTTCTCATTACAACACTGAGGATCGGGTGAGTGGCACACGCAGAGCTGTATGATACCTCCTGGCAATCCCAACTCCATAAAACTCCGAAATCCCTAAGTTCTTTGGTCATTCATTTGACAGGAACATCTGTCCTAAACTGACCGTTTAAAGTTTTTAATTCAGGGGCCAGTGCTGTGGTGTAGCAGGCTAAGCTTCTGCCTGTGGCACTGGCATCCTATACAGGTGCTGGTTCAAGTCCCTGCTGCTCCACTTTCAATCCGGCTCTTTGCTATGGTCTGGAAAAGCAGTAGAAGATGGCCCAAGTCCTTGGGCTCCTGCACCCATGTGGGAGACCTGGAAGAAGCACCTGGCCCCTGGCTTTGGATCAGTGCAGCTCTGGCTGTTGGGTCATTTGGGGAGTGAGTGAATCAGTCGATGGAAGATCTCTTTCTCTCTCTCTCTAACTCTGCCTTTCAAACAAATAAATCTTTTATTTTTTTAAAGATTTATCTTATTTATTTGAAAGACAGAGAGGTAGAGACAGAGCAAGAGAGAGGGAGAGAGGTCTTCATCTGCTGGTTCACTCCCCAAATGGCTGAAGCTGATCTGGTCCAAAGCCCGGAGTTAGGAGCTTCTTCCAGGTCTCCCAGGTGGATACAGGAGCCCAAGGACTTGAGCCATCTTCCACTGCTTTCCCAGGCCATTAGCAGGGAGCTGGATCAGAAGTGCAGCATCCGGGACTCGAACCGGTGCCTTATGGGATGCTGGTGTTGCAGGCCAGGGCTTTAACCCCCTGCTCCACAGCACTGCCCACAAATAAGTCTTTTTTTTTTTTTTTTTTTAAAGCTATTTGGGGGCCAATGCTGTGGCATAGTGGTGAAGCTGCTGCCTATAGTGCTGGCATTCCATGTGGGCGCTGGTTCGAGTCCCGGCTGCTCCACTTTTAGTCCAGCTCTCTGCTTTGGCCTGGGTGGTGGTGGGGGGAAGCAGTGGAAGATGGCCCAAGTCCTTGGGCCCCTGCACCCACATGGGAGACCTGGAAGAAGCTCCTGGCTTTAGATTGCCACAGCTCCAGCCATTGCAGCCAATTGGGGAGTGAACCAGCAGATGGAAGACCTTTCTGTGTCTTTCTGCCTCTGCCTCTCTGTAGCTCTGCCTTTCAAATAAATGGGTAGATCTTTAGAAGAAAAACAAAAGCTATTTGGCTATAGAGTGTTGGCTCAAACCCTGCTGTACCTTCATAGAATGCATCTTTCTGAAATCTGACAAATCCTGAACACTGAATATTTGGCCCTGGGGGTGCTGTTGCGAGATCACAGACCTGTAATATAAAGGGAATTGAAGTGGAAGGTTCAGTTGAAATCCTAAGGGGATAAACATTGGATGCCAAAGAGAGTTAGGAGACAGAACTCCCAGCACAAGCTACAAAAGGGAGTTGGCTCCTAAACCCCTCACTCTGATGCAGGGTGTGAGTTAGGAGGTCAGAACAGAACGGGTGAGGGAAGGATAAGCCGGCCCTCCTGGGAAGACCCTGCCAGCAGTGACCGGGAGTCTGTGCATTCTCCCGGGGGGGGGGGGGGTGGCACGGGGGCCCCAGGGGACCACCAAGGACTCTGCACAGGAGCTGGGCTTCCTGCCGATGGCTGGACAACAGCAGCACCAGGCAAGGCTCTCTGAGCTCTGTGCCGACTGGAGTCAGCCGTGTGGTGAGGGCGTGGTGCTGCAGGTGCACGCCTGAGACAGAAAGAGCCACGAGTGTGAAGAGCTGTGGAGACAGCACCAGGAAACGGGACTGCAGGAACAGGACTTTAACCTTCCTGGGTTCCGGGCAGCAGGCCCCCACGCAGAGAGAACTGCCGTGACGGCCCCCAGGACCCACGCGGGGAACGGCTCCAGATCGCCTCCGAGCCGAAAGCTGCAGCCCAAGGAGAGCCCTGGTGATCCCGCCCCATCTGTTTCCCCACAGTAGGTGTCCCGCGGAGCTGGCTGGGGAGAGGCTCTGGGGAGGAGCCACCTCCTGTGTCCCCTGGGGACACATGTGACCTGGATGGGAGGGGAGAGCCATGCTTCATTCCTGTCTGCAAGCCTCCTCTGCCCGTCTCCTTCTGACCCCAGAGGCCCCGGATGCCCCTGCCTGTCCACCTGGGCCCCGCTGTGTACCCTGCAGAGTGCACTCAGCTTCAGAGGAAGCATCATGTTCACTTTATTGAGTTTTTTTTAATCTACATATTTATTTGAAAGGCAGAGTGACAGAGAGAGAGAGAGATCCTCCAGGCACTGGTTTACTCCCCAAATCACAATGGCCAGGCCTCGGCCGGGAGCCTGGAACTCCACCCAGGTCTCCCACCTGGGTGCGGGACCCTCTCCTGCCAGCAGGGAGGTGGTTTGGAAGTGGAGCAGCCGGGATGCCGGCTTCACAGCGGTGGTTTCCTCCACTGCATCAGTCCCTCCCCAAGGACCTAACCGGGGTCGGTAGTCATTCACGGGTGTAACCAGGCACCGCCCTCTGAATGGCTCCCTGGGGACTTGGGGCCACCACAGACTCCAGCCATGCTCTCTGCGGTCTACACACGTGGTCGGCTGGGGTGTTCTTCACCCAGCCGTGTGAGTGTATCCTCTCTCCCCCACTGAGAATTTCTACTTGAAATCCATACTGCTGACACGTTGATGTCACCCCATTCTCACCCTCGGGGGGGGCCCAGTGTGAATTTCTGGGCAAGGTGCTTTCTGGGGTCTCATCTAGCATCCACTGCCTTGGAAATGCAAGCCACGCTGGGCACCAGCAGAGGTGACCTGTGACCGGCCCTCTACATTTCCCACATTTCCCTCTGATGCTCCAAACTCTTGTCTGTTTCCCCATCTTTTCCTGCAAGTCCCCCACCTTATGCCTTAACAATGGAGCTACTTGGAGCTCAGCCCTGATGCAGTGTTTTGAAGGCAGTGTATCAGGTCCTAGTCTCCCAGCCTCCCTGCCCTTAGCTTATGTTTCCTTGCCCTGTGGCTAATCCTCTGCCTGCGGTGCCGGCACCCCTGGTTCTAGTCCTGGTCGGGGCACCGGATTCTGTCCCGGTCACTCCTCTTCCTATCCAGCTCTCTGCTGTGGCCCGGAAGTGCAGTGGAGGATGGCCCAGGTCCTTGGGCCCTGCACCCGCATGGGAGACCAGGAAGAGGCACCTGGCTCCTGGCTTCGGATCAGTGTGTTGCGATGGCCGCAGTGCGCCAGCCGCAGCAGCCATTGAGGGGTAAACCAATGGAAAAGGAAGACCTTTCTCTCTGTCTCTCTCTCTCACTGTCCACTCTGCCTGTCCAAAAAAAAAAAAAAAAAAAAAAAAAATCCTTTCTAAAATCAACTCACCGAATGAATGAAGGGAGTAGTGCGGCTGGCACTACAAGGTCATTTATCCCTATAGATAATCTCTTGATGTTTAGCCTTTTTTTTTTTTTTTTTTTTTTGACAGGCAGAGTGGACAGTGAGAGAGAGAGACAGAGAGAAAGGTCTTCCTTTGCCGTTGGTTCACCCTCCAATGGCCGCTGCGGCCGGCGTGCTGCGGCCGGCGCACCGCGCTGATCCGATGGCAGGAGCCAGGAGCCAGGTGCTTTTCCTGGTCTCTCAGGGGGTGCAGGGCCCAAGCACCTGGGCCATCCTCCACTGCACTCCCTGGCCACAGCAGAGAGCTGGCCTGGAAGAGGGGCAACCGGGACAGAATCCGGCGCCCCGACCGGGACTAGAACCCGGTGTGCCGGCGCCGCAAGGCAGAGGATTAGCCTAGTGAGCCGCGGCGCCAGCCCTTTTTTTTTTTTTTTTTTTAATTTAAGATTAATTCACCAGGTAGGGAGATAGAGAGGAGAGAGAGTGGAGGTGGGGCGAGACCTCTCAGCCACAGATGCACTCCCCAAATGGGCGCAGTGACCAGGGCGGGGCCAGGCTGAAGCCAGGAGCCTGGAGCTCCAGCTGGGGCTCCCTCGTGGGCTGTCCTCTGCTGCCTTCCCAGGCACAGCAGCCCGCATGCAGACTGGTGCTCTGATCTGGGACGCTGGATGCAGGAGGCAGCGTGGCTCACCGCCACAGCACTGGCGCCTAGTGCTGTCTTGAGGAGTTTCTTTTCTCGGAACCCCAGTCCCTGCGCGAGAAGTACCTATCACCTGAGGAATTGCAATCAACTCCGCCATCGTAAACATCTCCAAATGAACCCGATTGCTGACCAATCAGAGTAGGGCCATGGGCACAGCAGACCAACCAGGGACCTGCACAGGAGCTGAACACACACCTCTCAGCCCCAACTTCTGTCTGCAGGAACCATCACCCCAACCCCCAGAGGAGCCCGAGAATCAAGCAGTAGCCGCCCAGCTCCTGTCTCTGCGCTTTGCAGCAAACCTCATCTCTTGCATCACCCTACGTCAGCGACTGGCTTCTCGTGCCTCAGGCAGGTGGACTCAGGTTTTGGGAGCGCTACAACATAATTCTATATATTTTTAGGTTCCTGCTTCCTTAAGACAGCCACTTAACTGTGGTAGCCCCATGCTGGCCTGACTCCCACTGCCTTCCATGGGAATTGGCTGTGCCGGCATTTCTGCAGACCAGCCAACTGCTCCTACGCCATACAGCTTTCTGGAGGGCCTGGGGGGCAGGCAGATGGGAATCACATTCCCGCGGCCTCCTTGCTGGACGGCAGGAAAGCCCTTCTCTTCCCGGGAGACTGGCAGCTCAGAGCGTGATGAGGAGCCGCCACAGTGCACCTGCTTCCTGGCCAAGGGAAATGAAATGCTTCGGAAACGCCCTACCGATCAGCATGATGACCAGGTTAGCCGCTCCGTACTTTTCTATCTCGTGGATCCAGTGAGGGACCGACTCGAAGGTGGCCCGCCGCGTGAGGTCGTAGGCGATGATGGCCGCGTGCGCGCTGCGGTAGTAGCTCTGTGTGATGGTGCGGAAGCGCTCCTGGCCGGCCGTGTCCCACACCTGCATCTGAGAGGGACAGGGGGTACCGCGTCAGGAGTTCCCATGCCGGTGGAGTCTTAAAGCTATAGTTCTCTGGGACTCCCTTCCACGCGGCCAGATTCAGGAGGTCTGGGGCGGGGGGCTCCCTGGATGTGCTTTTAGGTTTGTGACCTGCCACCTAAGGGACACTTCCCTCAGAGACAGGGACCCATTTTTTCCCTGGAGTCTTGTGTTCTTTTGACCTGTGAGCTCAATGAAAGGCCCGTGGGGCTGCTCACGCCTGAGGGCGTCCTCACAGTAGCATCTGCCAAATGAGTGCCCCAGCAGGGCGCCAGTTTACATGTCCGCTAACGCTGCCGAGGCACCAATACCCTCCTCCTCTCACGCTGTCTATTCCTTTTCATTGTGCATTTATTTTATTTGCTCAGAGGCAGAGAGAGAGAGAGATCTGTCGTTTGGTTCACTTCCCAGGTACCTGCGGGAGGCAGACACCAGGCACCCTGAAACACCCGTGAGTCTGTGGGTGTTAGGAACCCAGGCTCTTCAGTCGGCAGGGCGCCTCCCAGGACCAGAGCTGCGGCTCCAACCCGGGCTGTCTGACGTGGGACCAACAGCTTGCCCTGAGATGTATTTTTAGGGGAAAGATTGCAAACGTACACAAAACGAGAGAGGTCAGAGAAATGAATCCTCATATACCTGGATTCAATACTCGGCAAGACTTCCCAACTTCTGGCTCGACCAGCCCATTCGGTTGATTTCTTTGAGGTATTATTTTAAAGCAAATTCCAACCTTCAGGCCATTTCATTTGACTTACATCAACACACATCCCTATGAAAATGGACGTTTTCTTATGTAACCATAATGCCACTGTCACTGCTGATGAACTTTTCAGAGCTCCTTGGCATCGTCTAGTAACCAGACCATATTTGAAATCTCCCATCTATCCCCAAAGTGCCGTTGTACATTTGTATTGCATCTGAATTGCAAACTAGACCCACTTGTTACATTTTCTTTCTTTTTTTTTTTTGACAGGCAGAGTGGACAGTGAGAGAGAGAGACAGAGAGAAAGGTCTTCCTTTGCCGTTGGTTCACCCTCCAATGGCCGCCGCGGCCGGCGCGCTGCGGCCGGCGCACCGCGCTGATCCGATGGCAGGAGCCAGGAGCCAGGTGCTTTTCCTGGTCTCTCAGGGGGTGCAGGGCCCAAGCACCTGGGCCATCCTCCACTGCACTCCCTGGCCACAGCAGAGAGCTGGCCTGGAAGAGGGGCAACCGGGACAGAATCCGGCGCCCCGACCGGGACTAGAACCCGGTGTGCCGGCGCCGCTAGGTGGAGGATTAGCCTAGTGAGCCGCGGCGCCGGCTTAATTTAAACTTTTAAAATTGAGAGCAAGAATGGGTATTTACAGAAACCTGTGGGCTGGTTCTTAGAAACTCTGTGACATCACAGCTTTTCCAGTATATAACTGGCCTGCTTTTTGTATTTGGTTGTTGATCGCCTGCTGGGTTGTCACCAGGGATCTTGTCACATTAGGTCAGTGCCATATTTGCAAATACAGGCGCCCTCCCGTGTCTGTGGGAGCTTGGCTCCAAGACCTCCGTGGAAACCAGTCTGAGGCGTTTGCTTACATAAATGCTCAAGGCCCTCATGGAAAATGGTGCAGTAGTTGCATGGAATCTACACATCCTCCCACATTCTTCACATCATCTCTAGCTTACGTATAATACCTAACAGCATAAATACTACCCGACACATCGACTCTGCTGCTTCAGGAAAAATGGCAGGAAAACAAAACCTGCCCATACTCAGTACAGGTGCAATTTTTCCCTGAATATCTTCTATTTTTGATAGAAAATAGAGCGGGGAACCCACAGATAGGGCCGGCCAACCGGGTCTATGTGCGGTTTGCCATTCTTCTCTGGCTTTATTGTTAGTAGTTATTTTTTGAGACATTTTGACCTTTAGATGGATTTAGTAATGTTTCCCTTTGGGGGTGTGTGTCTCACTGAAAACACTGACTCCCCGGCTCCCCAGTGGTGAGCGTGGGTTCGGTGCTGGGCACTCTGGCCAGCCGAGGGGTGCCCGGCCCGCGCCTGCTGACCTTCACTCTCTTGCCGTCCACCTCAAGGGAGCGCACGGTGAAGTCCACCCCGATGGTGTTCTGCCGCGACTCCGTGTAGACCCCGGATTTGAAGTGCTGCACCACGCACGTCTTCCCCACGTTCGAGTCCCCGATGAGAATGATCTTGAACAAGTAGTCGAAGTCCTCCTCAGCTGTCCTGGCTGAGCCGGAGAGCTGCATGGCGCTCGCACCTGGAATAGACCTGGAGCCGAAGAAGGGCGTCAGCACCCACCAGGCGCGGGAGACGCGGGAGGGTCAGGGCTAACACAGGGGGTGGTCTCCAGGGGTGGGGAAGCACTGGAGGGGTTCCCTCAGAACAGGTGGCACTGCCAGTCTCGGGTGGGTCCAGGAGGCAGCCAGCAGTGGGCGGCCAGGCCCGTGTGGATGCCCCACCCCTTCATCGGCCCCTGTTTCATTTGCTTTTCTAAAGTCGCAGAGCAGGGCATCGCACACAGGGAAATCCACACCGAGACGCAATCTGCAGGTGGGAAAGGGGCGAGGTGGGACCCCGGGCCTCTGCGGCAGACCAGGGTCACGGTCAGACCACATGCAGACTTTTGCAGGGGCTGGAGCTGAAACCCGAGGTCCGTGGCCCTCTCCCTCCCCTAAGTCCCCAGGGTGTCCACTCAGCCTGCAGGCGGCCCGTCGGGACCGAGCCCCCGCATCCTGCCTCCGGGGTCACCTGCTGCGGGCCGGTCCGGCTCCCTCACCTCCGCGGGCGAGCAGGCGGCGACCCTTTCTCTCCCGGTTTTCCTCCTCAGCCCTCGGCGCCCCTTCTTCCTCTTGCCTCGCGGCGCGGTGGGAACTGTAGTTCGGGCCCGGCGGCAGGAGAAAGTGAAAGGAAAGGCAGCTCGATCCCTCCCACCTGCCCGGAGCGGAGGCGCGGGGGACGCCGCCCCAGGCGAGGCGCACCAGGCGGGCGCAGCGGAGGCCCGCGGGGAGACGGGCAGCCGCCGGAGCCGCCTCTGCGCGCTCGGCTGCCCGCGTGGCCCTCGTGTGCCTGAGCTGTCCCGACATCACCTTAGAGGAGGTTGCACACCCGGATCTTCAGCAATGGCTTGGGGCTGTGGGTTCCTCTTTTTGAGGAGTGGCCAGGAGACAGGTGATCCCAGGAGCGGGCACCACAATCCTAAAGGAACTTTGAAGTCTTCGGGGGAGAAAAGGTCGAAAAAAACTCTCTCCCTCCCGCTTAGGGTTTCGCTGAAGACTAACCTCACTCGAGGAACACCCAGGGTTCCGCGGTCCCTGGTGCCGGCCGTGGGCGCATGGCCGCGGTGACTTCTGCCCGGGGCGCCCCGAGCGTGGACCACCTCTCCGTGTGCATCAGGGGGACTGGGACTGGATTTTCTCCACGAGGGGACCTGCAGCGTGGAAGCAGCGAGGCAGCGAGGCGGCACTGCCGGCGGCTTGCCTGATAAAGTATTTCAGTGTATAGTGCTTTCCCACTGCGGGCTGGGACCTAGGCACCAGTCACAGAACCGGTGTCAGTGGGTGGCAACCAGTGTTCTGTTTTTTATAGAAGAGGTCAGGGAAAAGTTCAGAATGTGCCTGTGTAGTCGGAGTGAGTATTGTTTTGGAAAAGGTTCGAGTGGTTTGTAAGAGGCGTGTGTGCGGGGGTGACGTAAAATGGGTTTACCACTTGGGTTGGGGTCCAAAAGTGTGAAACGCAGGACAACTGTCCACGAAGATTGTTCCTGTGACTCCTTCAGGTTGCATTTAAAATGTGGCTTATTGTGCCCCAAGTTCCATTTACATATCAGTGTTCTAACTCAGCGCTGGCGGATGGAACTAGAAAACAAGGCATTGACAACAGCTGCTGCTACAGTCGGTGCCTTGGAATAGAATGTAGGTCACGTGCCGCCGCAAACGGCAGGGTATCAGCCTGTTAGGTGTGATTGTCAGTGAAGCTGCTTGTCCAAATGTTTTCTTTCTTGCAATGGATACTGTAACAACAACAACAAAAAAATCAGCTGACTCGGGTCTAGCTCTTGGAGAGCAAACAGAGGTAGAAATAGATGCTAAAATGTACAGATGGCTTCGAGAACCAAGGAGACAGGGTCTGCCTCTCTCCACTCCACCCTTTCCGCCCAGGTGCAAAGAGCACCCTTGGGCTGTGGGAAGAAGACATTCTTTAGCTGGGTGGTAGTGACACAGGTTATATACTTGCTATAAATACACACACACACACACACACACAGAATCACAGATATACACACACATCCATGTGTGCACACACACATATTTCACTATATATTCTTGCCATTTTAAGGTATAAAATTCAGTGGCATGAAATACGTTGTTCTGCAACTAATGTTATCAACTATCTCCAGAACTGTTTCGTCTTCCCAAGTAAAATATTTGCCCGTTAAACAATAATTCTGCATCTTCCCTCCCCTCAGCCCCTGGAAATTCCATCCTACTTTCCGTTTCTATGAATTCGGCTATTGCAAGTATCTCCTATAAACGGAATCATGCAGTATTTGTCCCCTTGTGTCTGGCTCACTTCTCAGCATAATGTTCTCCAAGTCCATCCATGTTGTAGCATGTATCTGACTTGCAGTCCCTTTCAAGGCTGGGTAATGTCCCACACCGTACTGCAAAACCTAACAGTGACGTGTCCGGCTGCTTTATTTTTGCCCACCCTGACATCACGTTTCTCCAGCCGCACCCTTGGAGGGCTGCAGACAGAACCGTGCTGTGCTGTGTAGGAGCAGGCGCTCAGCTCATGAAAAACCAAACCTGAATTCTCCCGCTGAGAGTAAGGGAAGACTGGTTTCCTGCCCATCCCCCTTTCTTTCAAAATTTCCTTTTCAAATGTGTGCGGCCACTTACAAGGGCTGACCAAGCTTCTCCGTGGAGCCACCACCCAGAAACGTGCAAGGACCTGGGGGGCAAGTCTTCCTGAAGCGCCCCCACCTCTCACTTCCTGCGGGAGCCTGACAGTCTTGCTTGGTGGACACCTTGCCCCCCCTGAAAGAAAGGACCTCTCGCGGCAAAGACAGGAGAAGCTTTTTCTCCTCTGGACAAAGTCAATTCAGGCGGTGGCCCCAGTGATCGCGGTAAGTTAGGAGGAACTACGTGGCAAGAAGTGTCGTCCAGCCTCCTTCAAGGACACCCAGGTGAGGTGGCTTCCGCGCGGCTCTGTGATCAGGAGAGGTTCCTTTCCATCTCGCGATCTCCAGGGTGCTTGTCGTGTGTGTCCCATGCCAGTCTAACCTTATTCAGTAGTTAACCTGTTTCCTTCCTCTACTACCTGTGTAGAGAGCTTTTCTGCATTAGGAGATTTTTCTAAAACTTGTATTTCCTCAGCGGCTGAGAGCGAGCCCAGAGGGCAGAGCAACCTTGTTCAGACACACGTTTAAGGTCTTTAATTATGGCTTGGGCTGCCAGGATCTTGCCTTTCATTGACTCATCTGGGTGGGCAGGTAGGGCGGGCTGCAGAACCGTGGATACCAGCAGACCACTAGCCCTGCCGGCACGGGCAGCTGTGTTTAATTAATTTAAACAAAAACCAAGCACAGCCAGGTCAGTCGCGCTCCGCAGATAGCACTTGTAACATTCCATAAAAACAAAGAACGGAACAAAAAAACAACGATGTATATGCACCAGGTCTCTCCAAAGCACATCGCTTCCCTCCCTCGCTGCGTGTCTCAGCTAACATTCCCGGCTGGTGTCTCCCGTGGCATCGCGGTCACTGGGGCCTGGGCCGCGGGAAGCGCCCCGCCTCCACGGCGCAGCCCGCAGGTGTAGCCGCACCGGCGGACTACAACTCCCAGCATGCGCCGCGCCGGCCGGGTCACGTGGGCGCCCGGAAACCCTGGCCGCCTCGGCGCGGGTGAGGTGGCGGCCTGGGCGGCGGGGCAGCGGAGCGGAGAGAGTGCAGCCGAGCGGCCGGGCGGAGCACGGCGAGTACTGCGGCTCGCGGTGCGCTGGGGGCCGGGGCCTGGCGGGGGCGAGGAGGGCCCGAGGGGCTGCGATGCGCGGCTGGAGGCGGAGGCAGCCGGTGGGTGTGGCGCCGCGAGCGGGGCCGGGCAGCCGCTCGCCCCCTGCCGCCCCCCGGCCCGGGCCTGGCCTCGTCCCCGCAGCCGCCCCCGCGGCGGGGGCCCGGGGGCCCGGCGGGGGCCGCGGCGGGGCGCGGGAGGAGCGGGGAGGGCTCCGGCCGAGCCCGCCGACGGCGGCCTTTGTGCCCCTCTCCCGCCCAGCCCCGGGCCCGGGACGTTGGCCGGGCAGGCGGGGGCCCTTGGGAGGGGTGGCCGGGTCTCCGCGCGGGAGCGGGTTTAGGCGATGCGGGGCCGGGAGTTTTATCGAATGCCTCCTCCGTCATCCCCGCCCTGGCGCTCGCCGAGCGTGCCGGTGCGTGCGCTTTTGGCCCGGCGTGATGACCGTGTGTCCGCGGGGCGTCTGTGTCCCCTGGAGTGCAGCCCTGGCGCTCGCCGAGCGTGCCGGTGCGTGCGCTTTTGGCCCGGCGTGGTGACCGTGTGTCCGCGGGGCGTCTGTGTGCCCTGGAGTGCAGCCCTGGCGCTTCCACTGCGGGGTCTCCCGGGAGAGCGGCTCCCGCGCTGAGCGCCCCGCTCGGATGCTGGCGTCTTTGTCCGCCGCCGCGCTTCGCCCTGGCGCAGGTGGCTGCCAGCCGGCTGTTGAAGGCGGGTCTGCGGCGTGGTGCTCCGGCGGCTCCTCTCCCGCTCGTCGGATGTCTGCTCTGGGCCAGGCTGCGTGGAGGACGAGTCACCTCGGGGCGTCCCAGCAGGGAGCTGAGGCTTCCCACCTGAGCTCTGATGCCTCTTAGGCGTCTACACCTGGCTTTGTCTTGAACGACACCATTCTTTGTTAATGTTTGACTTCCAGCCTCTGCCCGAGAAAAAGACCCCGAAACAGTGCTTTGCTGGACGTCCAGTCGGTGCCTTGGCCCGTGCCGGGGTCAAGGGCGTTTGTGTCGCCGCGGTGACCGTCAGCTTCATCGCAGAGCCTTTGTCTAGAGGAAGGAGAGATTTTTTTTAAAAAATCTGGATAGCTAGTTGTCTTTGGAACATGCACAAAAATGCTAGGAGGAATGGGGCTTGGGGCACTGAGGAGTAAGCTCTTTGCAGATAAGTGATAGGGATTCCACGTCTGTGGTAAGGAGACAATTTAAGGGAGAGGAATTTCAGGCAGATCTGAGTTGTGTATGGAAGGGTGCAGGCAAACGGCTTCAGATTACATAATGCGGGGCAGAAAGATACTGTGTGAGTGCTCAGCACTGGGATGCTCACCTCAGAACTGTAAACGAGGGCACGCAGCCGTCCACTTAGTACTTTCCCACCAGTCTCGCCATACTTTGAGCATATGTAGTCTTTTAACTTCGCCAGTGTGAAACCTGTATTTGAGGAGTGAGGCAGTTTACCGTCTAAAGCCCTCTTGCTGGAGTGTGTGGGAGAAACACCATTACTAATAGTGGATACACACCTGTGAGTTTCGGGAGTCCTAGTTCTAGTCCCTGTGTAACCCACTTGCGATATTTTCTGGTTCAGCCTTATCTTGCACAGCAGAACACGGGATCTAGAGTCAGGTGTGGGTTTGAATGCACACCCGTATCTTTGAGAGATTACTTCCTAATCTGTGTTTCCTTACCTGTAAAACATTGGGAGAACTAAATGTGATAAGCCTTCGGTGCTCCTTAAGTCTTTACTGATAGCTCCTAACGCTGGACTAAGTCCTGAGGATAGAGCTGCAGACGTAGGACTGAGAAAGCGATTGCTTTCCTGGAGGTTATAGCTGCTCAGTGAACATGTGAACAGCTGACACGAGTTTGTATTGGGAGAAATGCTATGAAGGAAAGGCAGACAGAATGAGAAAAGTAGTGACCTACGGAGACCCATTCAGAAAGAGTGACCGGGTCAGGCGGCGACATTGAGTGATGAGCCAAGAAAAGGACGGAGCAAGCCATTTGCAAAGAACCAGGAGGCGAGCATTTCTGGCAGTGCGACAGCCAACACGAAGACCCAGAGTGTGAGAGAGTGCTTTAGTGTGGGGAGGCGGTAGGAGGGTGCAGGAGCCTTGGTGGTGAGGTTGGAGAGGCAGGTGGGCAGAGTAAAGAGGAGGTGTGCTAGTTCCCTGCTGTGTGCTCTGGCAGGGGAAGGGGACCCGTCTGCCCGCGAGGGGCAGGTGGAAGAGGCGCAGATGGGCTCATGTGGAGGAATGCACACTCAGGAACAGGGCGCCTCCAGGGGCTGGTGGGGTGGACCCCAACATCTGCTGCTTGAGGAGAAGATGCAGAGCAGGGTGTGCTGTGTGCGCACATGGAAGTGTGTGTGTAGATGCGGGCTCTGCCTGGCGTGTGTGCAGAGGTCCCGAGTCTGAGCAGGGGAAAGACGCTGATAGAACAGGGGAGTGACAGTCCCCCGTCCACTTCCTTGTGGGTTTTGAATTTTCTGCCTTATGCAAAAACGAGGGGCTTCCAGCAGTTTGTAGAGGAGTGGAATGAAAGGATACTGTGAATTTTCCGTGAATCTTTGAAGCCCTCTTGTATTACCACTGGAAATTAATAGAAGAATTAAGATAGAACCCAGACTCTCCAACGTGGTCGTCTGCTCAGGCAGCGCCTCCATCTTCTGGAGCCTTCTCCCAGCCTGGCTGTCATGCTTGTCCCTAACCCTCCACCGCCATCCTCCCTGCAGGGTTCCAGGTGAGACCAGCTTTGGAGGCCATGGTAAAGGGTTCTTTTTATCTGTGTCTGGGAAGCCCTCAAGAGTCCTGAGCAGAGGCTGGGGTGTGCTCTGAGCTGTATTCCGGCTGGTGTGGGGAAGGACTTGGGCTGGGTGGAGATTGCCTGCTGCGGGAGGCAGGAGGGAGATTCGGGGGTTACCTGTGAGGTTCAAGTGGACGGAT